CAAACTCGTGTGCTCGTCCATTAAGTCGTTCGACGAGTGCTTATGTAAATTATGCCCGTATACGCTTTGTGGACGCCTCGGGAATACGAAAAAAAAAAACTGTTTTATCATTTTACAAACGCCTTGACGTCTCGTTACGCGTTACTTTCTTCCTTACGAAGCCAGTATATCAGAGAATTAACCTTCATCCATTATACCATTGGGCAACATTCACGTAATACGCGATTAACGTTTGAAACCGTTTGAAAGATTACACTGTCTCGTTCGAGAAAGTTGCCCCGGGCGGTCATTCCTATATTTCTGCAATAATCGTGTAGAACTGTAATTTTAAAACACACGGTTATGATAACGTTTCATCGTCCGAATAGCTGCACTAGAGGAAAAAAAGGAATAATAAACAACTCACGTTCGATTGGTTCATCAATTTAATTGGCTAATTGTACCTCTTAAATTTCGAATGGTGTCGGCTAATCAGTTAATCGGTACGAGCATTGTGTGTGTGTGTGTGCGTGTGCGTGTGCGTGTGCGTGTGCGTGTGCGTGTGCGTGTGCGTGCGCGTGTGCGTGTGCGTGTGCGTGTGCGTGCGCGTGCGCGTGCGCGTGTGCGTGTGCGTGTGCGTGTGTGTGTGTGTGTGTGTGTGTGTGTGTGTGTGTGTGTGTGTGTGTATTCTGTTAAATATTAAATGTTCTTAAACACGTACAAATTTTTATATATCTGGATACATTTAAAAGTCTGATTGTCTCTTACTGATAATTTGGACATTAATCCTAGATATACACACTGGTGTCCCCGAGACCCCAGCGAAACTTTTTTGGTTTGACATTTCTGAAATTGGAAGGGGAGGAATTTGGGATATTGACGTAAAAAAAGTTTGGGATCTCCTCAGTAGGAAGACGTGTTGACGCGCGGCAATTATCGCTCAACAACCGAGCAGTGAACGGTTGAAGTGAGCGTGGGATCCCCGGGACTGCTTGCAGTTTTGTTAAAATATTAAAATATTGCCAAATTTTTTTGCTACTATTTCAAGTAGTGCCCTTTCAGATTTTTCAAGGATTTTTTAAATCGATCTATAAACAAAAGAGATATGATTTTTTGAAAAAAAAGGTGCTAAATCGAGATTTTTTCGCGTTTCTGAACTTTCCTTTTTCTTTGAACCCGTATATCTTGGAGCTCCTTAATTCTATCGACGTTTAAATATTATGGGCTTGTTCCTTGGTCGATTCTCCATCGATTGAAAAAAAAAATTAATTGAAATATGTCTATTTTTACTAGAGTTACAGTAATAAATATAAATGGGATTCCCGAGACCCCAGTGTGTATACGACGTCGTCAAAAAAACAGTGTGTATACCTAGGGTTATTGCCGACCATTAAATTTAATTAAAAATTTTTCAAAATTGTCATTAAATGTATACAAAAAATATGTATATAACGTTATCGATATTGTATTTACTACAATTTACTTCGGCTATATTTTTCGCGTTTGCGGTGTAGGCGTTTGAACACAATTTTTCAGAATCTCTCATCGTTTGGTAAGATATTAGCGACTATCAGTTGAGAGAAAAAACAGCTGCATATACGGTCCGCCATTGAAATAACGTTGTATTTCATTCCCTGATGGCGAGCGGTGCTCGCGAAGAAGGAAAATAGAGAGATCAGAGAGGAGAAAAAAAAATAAAATCCGTTAAATTTACGTCGTCAATAAAAAGGAAAATAAACGTGGCATCTCGCGCGCGTTCACCCAAGGCGATCATCTTCGAGATTCAGGGGCCCTCCCGCGCGCGTATTCGTGGAAACGGGAAGATTACTTATTTATGGTTTCCCCCCCTCCCCCTCGCTCTCGGTAGAGGGGTTAAGGCTGGACCCTGCAGGGACGTGTGCTCGCGTACATTTGATGTTGCCTCCAATCGTACAGTTAACCATTGATGGATTCGTTTTCCACGTAGATGGATTATTTATTAATCCTATACGACTCCGACCTAACGATCTCTACCGGGAACGACGTGGGTGTTTAGGATTCATCATCACCGCGGATACATGCCATGACTCGAGTATCCGTTTCGTGTAAGCAACACGGAGAGGCAAGAAACGTCGACGAGCGTCCATCACGACCGCGAGCTGCCGTTAAGAGTATACATGCGTCAAAATGAGGAGGATACACGTTACTCATAATAACGATCGTATCGTTGAGATTCTCGTTGGCGTTCTTTCGCGGAAAATAGACATTACTGTGGATCTCGAACGCGAGAGCGCGGCGGTTCATCGGTCGACGCCGGGAAAACATTCGGGATTATCTTTACGAGGCAATCGCGTATTCCAGCGCGCGCGAGTGACGGCGCGGCGTTGCGAACTTTAGTGCGGCCGGAGCACCACGCGCGGTTACCTATCCACGCCACGGGCAATTTCCGCCGCGCCGCGGGTCTACCAATTAGTCTGGTAATAATTTTCCCGCCCTGGGGGGGGGGGGAGGGCTCTCGTGACGCCTCATATATCGGTATAGCCTCACCCGCGATGCAAATTTTTAGAGTCAACAGCGCGTTGCACGCGCGCGATTGTGTTATTCGGAATCGCGTATGTTTCATCCCGTTTGCAGCCCCGAGGCATTGCATTGACCCACTGACAATCGTCGTCGTACATCCCGTATATTTTCACCAAGTGCCAGCGGCGAGCGAAATGAACGGCACTGTTGGGACCGTGTGACGACTTAGTAGCGCCGCTGCAGGATGTCATCCGCGCTAATACACTCGCGCATCGTGCGCACCCTCCTCCGTCGCTACGACGACAAGGAAGAAGCGACCCGCCCTCCCGTGTCTTCCATTTTCCACCGCCTCGTTTCCGCTCTTCGCCTCCTGTTCCCTTGAACTCGCGGAAAATGTATGATACGCCCACTCGTGGAGTTAAACCGCTATTTTTCTTGTGATAAATGAAATTGTTTCGCGTGCGGCGCTTGTCACGCCCGCGGACGTTCCGCAAGTTTGCGCGGAGCTTCCTCGAGTTTCCTTCCGGACTTCCTTCGAAACTTCCCTCAGGATTAAATGAGATGAGGAAGAATGTGCCCGTTTTCTTTTTTTTTCTTTTTTTTACGATTCATAGTATCGTTTTCTATAACGAGAAGATATCTTAATTGTACAAAACATAATTGCATACGATTTATAAATGTCATGTTGTTAAATGCATACATTAGTTCGTATTACGTTAAGTGCATTAATGGCGATAATTGAGATGGATAATTTAAATTAGTATATCTGTGTATATATTATTTATAGTGTATAATGTGTTGTATATATTATTTATAATCTTGAAAAGTATATGAAATAGATAAAAATTAGGAAGAAGTTAGAAAAAATTAAAAAACTTTTAATTTATATACTGCATATATATTTTTTAATTTTATTAAAAAATTTTAATATATATAAATAAATTAAAAATTTTATATACACGGAGAGAATTTTATTTTAAAATTTACCTGAAAATCATGTTAATCGTGGGACAACAAAGTATTTCGACGAATTTTATGTGATTTTCAATATTTTTTAAAATATATATTACAACAAATTTATTGTAGTGCACAATAAAAAAATAAAAAATTACATAAAATTTATCGAAAAACTATGTTGTCCCAGGATTTAACATGATTTTCAAGGTAAATTTAAAAAAAATTCTCTCCATGTACCGATATATAAAATATATATCAATATATTAATATATTAACATATAATAACAATCTCGAGATCTTACATTGCCGTTTGCTAATATACGCGATAATATTTTACGTTAGTGCCAAAAGTTAGGGTAGAAGGCAGAAAGTCGACTTAAGCTCAGCGTATGTTTGCTTATCGCGTTTCTCATATCGACCCGCACCTATCGTCCCTGCCGAAAGTCGGTGGGTATTCTAATTTCAGATTCAGAGCGTTCCGCACGATTGCTCCGGATCCTTCGGCAAACACTTCGCACGTTCACGCAATATCTTCGTGGATTTCGGAGTGAAGACACTGGGCCTGTGCACGCCCGCGCCCTTCTTTGAACATGTCACCATCGGACCTGGCGATCCGTTTCCTCGACCATTCTCTCATCCCCGTTTTCCCCCGTTTTCTCCGTCGACAGAAGTGTCGGCGCTTTACAGTCCGGGACGGAAATCCGTGGACTTCGAGATTGGCCGACCCTGTTGCGATCAGACGTCGCGCGACGAAATACTAGCGTGGTGATCGATGGGATCCCTGGGAGCGATCGCTCCTGAAGCACGACGCTTCTTCTCGAGAAGCGATCGAGAAGTCCGATGAGACGTCAGGGAACGCGCCGTCGCGGAAAGATAGCTTCAGTGTCACTGTCAAGGGAGAAAGAGACAGTGAAGGGGGGGGAAGGGGGAGAGGGAGGGGAAGAGATGGAAAGGGAGCCAGCTCATTAAAACGCGATATCTCCCTCCACATGTAAATCTAATCGAGCAGACAAAACCGCAGCGGCATCAAACCACCGTTAACCACTGTCTATCTCGTCATAGACGAGAATGGCGGGACTTAAGCTCGGGATACGAGCTCGCCTTTAACCGTCAGCGTGTACATCACCGCGTAAATTCTCGTGTAATGAGACCTAATCCTGGTGTTTTCTTGTCCATGAAAACCGCATTATGCCAACGTTTTACTTAGCGTAGCAATATTTCGTGGTAGATACCCTTGTTAAGAGCTTAAAGATTGGTTATATAGTCAGCTCCCGCGTTTTTGCGGATTAAGCAGCTCATTATTCTCCGTCGTCGGAAGAGAAGGATCAGCAGTGAAATTTATAACAATTCTGTTGATATATTGAGTGCAATTTCTGATTGAATTGCGTATAGTTTTAACTGTGGCATTTACGCTTCTAATTTTTTATGACGATAAATAATTTGTATCTCGATCAAATTGAATTGAATGACGAATGTATGTTCAAAGCATTTGAAAAAATATTATATTTATATTTAAAGAAAAAAAAACACATTTATTTTAAGTTTATCTTTTTTCTTTGTTGCAGTACCGACTATTGCTCTTGACGGTGTAATCGGAAACAAGGTGCAGCTCCCTTGCGACATTCGTTCCACCGATAACGATGAAATTAGCATGGTGCTTTGGTACAAGGAAGGCAGAGGTGAACCGATTTACAGGTAAGATCTCGGAGAGACGTCTACCATAAACTAAATAATAAATAATAGTTTCTGGTTGCTTAAAAATTTCAAAGTCCTTGAATTATATTACATCTGCTCGTATCGCAAAAAAAATTTTCTTTTATTTGCGTACAAAATACTTTTCCGGACGGCACGCACGTCCCAAAATCGGGATATAACACGTCTTAAACACGTCTCTTGATATGATGCGTGAAAACGTCTTATGTTTCATTTTGGGTCTTGATGCTCGTCCGGGTTTAATCTTCATTATAAGATCTCAATGTGCCGGAGCGAAGTGCGCTGGGAAAAACTTCTCAAACGTACAAGGGAGCCATTCATATCGTCTGTAAGGCGCTGCACCTTCACGGAGAAATCAAAAAGGAATGAAGTCCAAGTACTCAAGTCCGTGAATTCCCCGCGTTATTTTCCACGGCGAAGTTCATTCGGCGCTCGCCGGGTCGCCGTTTCGCTTCCGCGGTCCGTGAAATTTTGCATATAGAATGGCGGCCGGCGCACCGCGCCAGAGTCGGTTGGGATAGAAGCGCCGCGGTCGAAGGAGCCGACGTTGGTATCCGGTGCGGGTCATATTTAAGAAATGTAATAAGGTGTAAGATATGTGCGTGGTGGATGGCGATGCATCGTCTCGTGCGGCGGAGGGGGAGCGACGGAAAGTGTATGCGAAGCGACGTCGGGGATGCCGGGGGGGGGGG